AGTCCGAATAATGTAAATCTCCGTGTATAGGTGCCGTTTTGTTTGTTTGATACTCACTGGACATATATATATATATATATATATATATATATATATATATATATATATATATATATATATATATATATATATATATATATATATATATATATATATATATATATATATATATATATTCTGTATTTAGGCAGAACATGTTCATTAAGGCAAATACTATTGAAAACAGGTGTCATTTTTGTCGATTAATTTTAACGATCGTCTTTTCCAAATTACGAACAATCCTCTAATAAGGAGTTAATTCCCTCAAGGATTGTCCAGAGGAAAAAAAAAAACAAACTTTGAACAATTCTTGACGGAATTTCCTTCATGTATGAGAAGGATTGTTCATAATTTGGAAAAGACGATCATTAAAATTAATTGACACAAAATATCTGTTGTACTCTCTCTCTCTCTCTCTCTATCTATCTATTTCGCTCTCCCCCTCTCTTTCTCTCTCCTTACAAATGAATGCAATTTTGAGGAATTGCGGCAAAAAATAACTTACCCCTAATTTTCACCGTTTCTTCGGAATTTTTCTGTTGACCATGATTACAGCTCCTCTACAGAAGGGCAATGGTAAATGTCTCTGCTACAGAAGGGCAATGGTAAATGTCTCGTACTACAATCGATTCAAGCATGTTGTCTTACGCAATTCCTCATAGACAAATACAGACAGAGTGATGTACTTATTTAAAATCGAGGAGAAAGACAGAAAGAAAGAAAAAAATCTCGATCGATAAGTCTGTAGCCAAACACGTAGTTATTAACTGTATTTTGATCTGAAAATTTCACTATAATATTTGATCCTCTGAGGTTAATGGCGAAGTGTTGGGTTAAGTGGGGAGGGGGAGGGGGAGATTATGTTGAAGAAATATGTGAATCCTTTTTTTTTTCATCATCTTACAGAATTATGCTTCAGTATATAATTGGGGTTCTCTGAATATTTGGTTGTGTATGTGTACCGGTAAGTCGTCGTAAGCGAGTTTTATAATCTAGAATTGGCGTGTTCGGTTGTTTGGGTGTCTGCCGTCTTTCTTGGAAGCTATTTTCGTTTAATTTTCCAATTTAATTTTAATTTTTTTTTTTTTAATTTCGTCCGCGCCAATAATTTGTCTTTAATTCTATTCTTGTTTTCTTTTCTCTCCTTACTTTTTTTTTTTATTTTCCGTCTATTTTATTTCACTTTATTTTATTTTAATTAATTTATTTATTTGAGGAGTATAATTCATTTGACACATTTTCCTCTCATTCTATTCATTATTCGCAAACTTTCTTTATTTTTCTTTTCCTAATTTCAATTCCGTTTAATCTTGGATCAATTAATCCCCCCCCACCCAACATCGCTCTTCATTAAAAACAATAATATCTAAACATCAAAATTCCATTAGTGAAATCCGGTCAAAATCGAAACTAAAGATTTAATTCCAGTCTAAAATGATTTTCATTTTTTTTTCTTTTCTAAAGGTGTGGGCGAAGGAAATGCTCTAAGGTTTGCTAGTTTCATTCAGTTTCTAAGGTCTTTCGCTTAAACTATTTTCCGGCAGTGAAAACAATAACACTCATTAAAATTATAATATTAATTAAGAAAAACCAGTTGTCTACCGTCGACTCAGTGTTCGCTTTGGTGTCAATCGAGACTTCTGTAATGTGCGACGCTTTATTTTGATTGGGTTGGACTTCAAGAAATCTCAATAACTCTTCCTTTATACACCACCAAGATTACCAACAACGACTAGAGGCACATTTTAAAAGGACCCCATATCAAGTATTCTGTACAAATAAAATGAAGTGTCGGCTAGAGTCTCAGAAATAGCTGGATGAATTTCAGCCAAACATGATATATTGTTAGGCAACAGCTCAGTCTTTTAAAGTTTTCCTAAGTAATGAAAAGGATAAACGGTCATAAAAGTCATGAAAGGTCAATAATACGTTCAAAGAAGACATTTCTTGTTGAAGATTTGATTCGATTAGATAGCTTTACCGCTCGTCCAGTTCACACTCCTCTCCAGTTTCTGAACAGAATTAGACGCTTATCGCTTGTTTTCTGTTTAGGATTAGGTTTCCGGTTCCTTCTAAATTCAACCTCAAGTCTATACTTCTAACGCCTTCGCCTAAACTCTGAAATGTATACTATTACTGGGTTTCCATTTCCTTCTAAATTCTACTATATCTATACTTCAGGAATGGGAGTGTGTTGTTACTCTCTTTCTCCATTGTGAACTGTATCGAAGGTCTTATTGAGTTCACATGGTTCAGTAGAACCTGAACATCTTCCTGGTGTGGACAGAGTATGAAGGTGTCACCTACGTACCTTGACCATAGAGTTGGTTTTAGAGATAAAATTCTAATGCCATTTCCTCAAAGTATGTATATATTCGCCATTGCTAGTGATAATGGCGAGCCCATTGCTAAGCCCTCATCCTGTCGATATATATGATCAAGTTGAGATCATAGACAATGA